ATTTGTTAAATAATAAAAATATAATGTAATATTTAATACCTGTTTCTTAAAATTATTTGCTTTATTTATTATATCATCTATATGATTATTAAGTGTATTTTATATGTTATTTTCATTGAAGATAAATATAATGAAAAGAAAACAATTTTATTCTGTATTAATTTGCTGGATTATATATAACTAATGCATGTTTACACGGCCATTTTCAAATTTCATATAGTAAAATTATCGTTTTCGTTAGGAACAACTCACTTCCGTTTCCTGAAAAAGCAAGGGCACGTGTGCGTCATGCTGTTTTGAGTGCAATTTTCATAACGAACCGAATCCTTTTTACGTTATAAAAAGTTTTTAAAATACATATTTTACGGAAACACGTGTCAAGTAAAAAGCACTAAAAATGGAGAATGGTCAAGAAGAGATTAAAGTTGAACCTGTAACAAATGACGCTGCTATCGATGAGGTTAAAAATGAGAAGCCGGTTTGTAAGGTCGAAGAAAGTGCCGCCAAAGAAACATCTAAAGAACCATCTAGTGAACTGTTGGAAAAAATAAAAAATCAAGTCGAGGTATTATTCTACTACGTAACCAACAATTAAAATAGAACGGTCATTCTTGTATAGTTCATGATATGATATGTATATATATAGCTTCTTACAGAAATACTATTAAATATTTAAGTTTGTAACTTCCAATAGCACTAGCAACAATAATGTAACTTGATTAATAAAAATTTCCATATTTGCAGTTTTATTTTGGAGATGTGAACATGCAAAGGGATAAATTCCTTATTGAACAAACCAAGTTGGACAATGGATGGGTTCCAATGTCTGTTATGTTAAATTTCAAAATGTTGACTTCTATAAGTAAAGATATTGATGTTATATTAAAGGCCATAGAATCCAGTGAATTTATGGAAATATCTGAAGACAAGAAAAAAATTCGTCGTTCTCCAAATCATCCTTTGCCAGTGTATAATGAAGAATATAGAAAGGCACAGGAAGCTAGAACAGCTTATATAAAGGGATTCCCTTTAAAGGACATTAACATTGAGAAACTCAAAGCATTTTTCAGTGCATATGAGCCATTTGAAAATATCATTGTAAGTATTTGACTTTTGTTTAATGGAAATGGAATATTCAGATAAGCTTGGAAAAAATTGGTGGAAAAATGTTTAGATTTTCAGACTATTTTCTTGTTTGCTAGATGAGGAAGTATCAGGATAAAGACAAAAAGCTGCAGTTCAAAGGGTCTATATTTGTACAGTTTAAAACTCTTGAGGATGCAAAAGCTTTTATGGCTAGGGAATCTGTAAAATATGGAGACACTGAACTGATAAAGAAGTGGTCGTAAGTTGATAAGATTATATGCTGCTCATAAAAGTTCTCTTGGATTTATATGCTCAAATTAATTCTTTGGAATTATAGAGCTGACTACAGTTTGGAGAAGGCAAAGGAAAAAGAAGACAGAAGGCAAAAGAGATCAGAAATGAAAGCAAAGAAGAGTGAATCTGTTAGCATAAATAAAATTACTTAGGTGAACCTGTCGAATAGCTATCGTTTCACTGATTTCGATGCCCTTGAAATATGTTGTCAAGGTCATTATTCTGAAGAACTTTTTCCTATACATATAATGGGTGCTCGGGCTTACTGTTGAAGTTATACACAAAAATATGTAAAAGTAAAACTAAGACCGAGCACCCGTTATATGTATAGGAAAAAGTTCAGAATGACCTTGATAACATATTTCAAGAGCATCGAAATCAGTGAGTAAGTAGCTATTTGATAGGTTGACAATTATTTATTATATTTATTATAGTAATTGAATAAATTGTATGAATTTTTCATTGTTCTTAGGCAAAAGAGAAAAACGATGAGAGCGGTGAAGATGATGAAAGTGAAAAGGATTCTTCATTACCTAAAGGTTGCGTGATCCACTTTACTGATGCACCTGAGAAATGTACAAGGGAAGATATCAAAGAGCGTTTAGGAGAATTAGATGCCAGTATTGCATTTGTTGATTTCAAAATAGGCGATAAGGAAGGATGGATTCGTTTGCAGGGAGAAAATTCTGCAAAAGCAGTGGTTGATAAAATGAAAGATAGCAAAGTAAATATTTTTATCTGTTTTATATACACTCTTAATCTTCAATATTGGCTTGTTTTACCAATCTATATTTTTGTATTCTGATAAAAGGTATTAATTTGCGATAAAGAAGTTACTTGTCGTATCCTTGAAGGTGAAGAAGAAGAGAAATATCTCGCGAAAGCGAAAGAAGAAATGACAAATGTTAGGCAAAAGTATACTAAAGGAAAGAAAGGGAAGAAAGGTCAGTACATAGTAAATAACTCCAAACAATTTTTTTCACATTATTGTCGTTTTCATAATGATGCTATGCCATGCTAATACCGAGAGATCAGTTTTGGATCTCGCTGAGTTAAACATCTCAAATATTCTGAATGTACTATAGTTACAAATTTCACATGCAGTTAAAATGCAACGTATATTGAGTTTGTGACAATTATTTTGTAGGCCGTAATGCACAACGTGGCCAAAGGAAAAGACGTAACAGCGAAAGCAACGATTCGGTGTCTGCTAAAAAACCGACTGTCGACTAACTTAGTATTGTTATTTAACTTTAAAGAGTCAAAAATGTTCTATACTTACTCCACTATACATGTATATTAATCATATTTTTATTATACGGACACCTATGTATAAAACATGAAAGATAGATGTTACACTGCTACGTATTCAAAGTAGACACCTACTTTACGCGTGTATTTTTTGTGATGCTTGAGCAGTGTGTATTATTTAAAAGATAAAAGTACAACACTGTTTATATTTGTAAATTGTACATCATTTCACAAGTCCCATACGTACGTATAAGATACTTAACCTTAAAATACGGAAGACCGTAGAAAGAAGAGATGAAAATGTATTTAGAAATCAGCGTTTTATTGTTTTACAGTGAAATTTACAAAGGTGGTTCGACTACTCTACTACTTAAATTTCACTGTTATGTGTTCGATAATTCCGTTCACACAATTAACGGACAGTCATAATGTTGGCGATTCGAACCATTCGCGAACAATACCTGACGAGTGTTTTTTTTTGTTTTGTTTTTATTTTATTTTTTTTTCATGTAACGGTGTATTGAAAATGACCGAAATCGATAGTACAGTTACGCGACACCGTGCATAGTATGATTGCTACCTAAAGTACAACATTATGTCCTTATTCGTATCGATACGCTTTCGTTACTTCATGTGCCTCGGAAAATGCGTACAATCGATTAAATGAAGTCGACTATATTAAACAGGCGTTACCTTTTTTACATGGCGATTCAAGTGTCGTGTCTGTTGAAGCTCATGACATATTCCCTTCATTGAAGGAAAACTTGTCTCTTAGCAGAACAGTTTTAATTGTATTATACGTTAATATGTCTTGATAATCAGTCTGGATTATAAAATTTGTCAGGGAGTGTTTTTTTTTAAGAATTAGAAAATAAGGAAGAAAAGTTTATAATCTATAGTACCTTTGAAATTAAAAATAAGGAGACTTTCATAGGAAAATTTCAACAGAAAATAAAGAAACTTTTTTCAATACTATAATTTACATTGAGCTTAGTAAGTCCAATTTTTCTCTGATAATTTTTAAATATGAAATGACAGATTCAGCTTGAAAAATCCTACAAAGATGAATGATATTCGCATAAGCGCGGGCGTAACCTCGCCTTAGATTACTTGGTCGAAGAGGAGATCTAGGTATTATTTAATTTGAAGGAAATCGTGTTCCACTTTATGATTACGTTTTGAGCACATATTACGACCAGATAGCTGTCGATATTTTCCGCAAGTGCTGTGCGCGTTCTGTTCGAGTTCGACTATCGAATGTGCAATTTTCGTTCGCCATTATTGTTGACTTTAACCTCGAATTTGCATACAGCATTCGCGGAAAGTTTTTAATACGAACACTAGAGCACTGGTCTTTTCGATATTGAGTGCGTAAATATACATTTTTCAGTTTTTTTTTTTTTTTTTAAATTTCTTCATTATTGAACGATTACATCGAGATAATGGGAAGGTAACGCAAAATTGACGGAGTACCTTTTATTATCTCCAACCAGATCACTTACTGAGAAAATCATTATTTAGAAAAAGATACAAGCTGGATTAAAATACAATAATATGAGAAATAAATAAAATTTTGGATATATGGAAAAATTACGGGAGTATTTTAAAACAACTAAAGTAAATATAATTTCTAAAATTTTTCAATAAGTTTAACATATTAATGCTTTACAATTAATAAAAGCACTGTAGTGTTCCATCTGTAAATTTTACTCCTGCTTTAAGAGAATCATATCGATCATTACGTTCACAGGATACTACGAAGTAGAAACATTGTCGTTTCAACTTTAGAAATTACTTTCACGACCATATTTCTTTTCGTACAATTCTCTAATTGTGTTACATAGACGTTACCTAATTGATTATCTGTGCGGATTTGTGCACGACTTTCAACGGTTGTAATTACAAAAGACACGAAGTTGCACGCGCAAACGGAAGTAGGAATCTTTTGTGTGCCTAACTTTTCGGTTATACCGGAAGTTACCCTAATCACATGACCATTGCACTACTTCATTTTGGATTCCGGCTATGAGAAGAACACTTTTTGAAAGAACACTGATTGTGAGACGGTTACAGTACTCACTCACGAATTTTTATACCAGTTTTATTTTTCTTGAAATATATTCTTAAGTACTAAAGTTTAAAAGATACGCGTTTGTTGATTACCTGTGTATAATTTCACATATCAAATTAATCAAAAGTTGTCATTCTTAAACCTCTTAGAAATTTTACTCTCCAACTTGGAAATTAACCACAAACAAAAGAAAAATATGTATCTGTTAAAAGTTAGTAATTTAACAATATATTTAGAGGATAACAAAATCAATACTGGCCATCTAAACACAATGTCCCTTGTTAGTTAACCATATAGTCCTTGTTGTCATTAATTAAGCGTTTTATGGAATAAAGCCACATAGCAAGTTTCAATCAATTCGCCAAGAATTGTCCTGCAACACATGGCTTTGATAATATTCCATGAAGGAAGTGCATCACAGAATTCTCATAAAGACTTTTGTGCACAATTGAGGAACACTTATAGTCTTTGAAGTCCTCTTTTAAAGCACCTTTCTCTTTTTAATGACATATGGCAGTTATCTGGCTGTTTACAAGTCAGAATATTTAGAGAATATTTAACAGACAATTGAACATTGCTTTAAAATCCACTGTTTTTTAAAGTTTATCTCAATGACTGTTGAAAGAAGCATGAAAGTCTCCATTCCTCACTAATATTCCATTACAATTTCATCAGCCAACCAGAGTTAAACATCTAGATCAGTCACCTGTTAATCCACATCTGGACAAATCTCTCAGAACTTGGACTCACCAGTTGCCTCAAAGTCCACGAAAGTCACCTTCTTAGTCTTCATGTTGCCCTCTTGGGGCAACCCCTAATGCTATACAGATATTTCCTGTATTTGCACACGTTTCTTGATAGTGTTGGTACCACTGCTGGTGCTCAGAGAGCTGGTTGTCCTCGTGGGTGGCTTTGGTGGAATGGGATCTTTATGGATAGCATTGCTGGTCCCGTGGCCAGATTTCTGTTCACTTTTAGGCTGTTCGTCTACATCTGTCGATTGATCCTGAGGAATCTGTTGGTGTTCCTGGATAGAGGGACTTCTTGCAAGGGTGGTATACGAAGGTGGAGGTTCTTGAGCTGATCTTGGACTCTCTGGAGCCTTCATAGATGACATGGTGGTCATTGGAAGAGACTCTTGTCCATTTGGAGTACAGTCCATCGCTGCTCTCTTTTTGTCCCTGTCTCTTTGATAGTAGATACCAGCGAATATTAACATGTTGAGAACTAGTAGGATACAACCGACTCCTACAGTGATTGCTAAGGCTGTGGTAGTACTATAGTAATGGCGGGAGGCTAGTCTTTGCAACAGTTCAGCGTCGTCCTCTGAGTCCTCTAGGATGGGAGTGATGTCCTCAGCGATAATTTCGTCGCCTGTGGAAGTACTGCACGCTGTTGTTGAAGAGGCACTGGTCTTTGTTGTCCCTAAAAGAGGCAGGGGAGTGTACCACTCGTCTCGAACTGGTCCTGGAAATTTTTTTTTAAATTATTCAACTTGTCTCTTGAATTGTATGGATGTAGAAGGAAGTTTAAGTTTTGTGTTAAGTTTAAAGTACAATTTTAATTTCTTTTTAGAAAGGGAAAATTTATTTCTTTTTTTAACCTGCGTAATAATGGTCGCCTCTTTCTCGAAAATGATGATGGCGCATAGAGACATCGTCATCCCCAGGTCGATGGAGCTGAGGTATCAGATTCAACCAAACTGCCATTTTGTGGCCGCGATAGTGGCTCTTCATTTTCGGTTTCATCGCTGAAATAGTAAATGGTATTTAATTTAGTAATTTAAAAGGTTTCATGTTATGAGTTATAACAATAATTGAAAGTAGGATTTTGCAGTAGACAAATAAAGATATTTCTTGATGTACTGTTCACGTAAAACATATAATATTTTCAAAGTGAAGTGCTTTTATTTAATTAAACACTTCAACACTTTTATCTACTTAAAAAGCAACAAATTAATTTGTACATTTAATTTATGCTGCGTAAAGTATGTTAATAAACAGTATATAAGAAAAAGTGTAATAATAGAAGACTCACCAATTGTGAGGTATTGTTGAGTGCCAGTTTCGTATTGCTCCCAGATGAGGCCACGATATCGAGTCTTCTCCTTGGGCGTCCCATAATCCACCGATTCGATTTTGTGCGGTTCGTTCGGATTCCCGGTTTTCGCAAAATTCGTAAAAAACGTGAGAACCGCCTCGGCGACGCCTTGATCCTGGCGAGAATAGTTCCTTGGAAAGAAAGATCCTCCACCTACTAGTGGCAGTCCGAAGATATATGGTATGTCCTCGCCGCGAATGCTACCCAGACGCTGGAACAAAATGATTTCGCCCGTTAGTAAAATATATATTGCACGAAACATTGGATGGATCTTGTTGAAAGAAGAAAGTATTCATAGAAGATTTAGCACATATAGAAATTTGATTAGCTAATTAAAAGGTTTAAAAAATTGAACATTCAAAGATTTAGAGATTCGAAGGATTAGGAGTTTAAATATTTAAAGATTTGCAGACTGAATGAGTACTTAAACATTCAGAGACTCAACTAATTTAAAGCTTCGGGAATTTTAATATTTGAAGGTTCAAGGTTGAAGGTTTGAATATTTGAAGGTTGAAGGTTTATGAGTTTGAATGTTCAAAGATTTGAAGAGTCTATAATATTCAGAGACTGAATTAATTTGAAGCTTCGAAAATTTAAATATTTGAGGGTTTGAAAATTTGAAGATTCAAACATTGAAGAAGTAAAGAATTCGAAGATTCAAAAATTCTAAATTTCCAAATAAATATTCAAACACTCACACAAACAACTTCAACGTTATTCCGTTCCTTTATACATTCCGTTTCCAAAGTAATCGCAAAATGACACGAACAACTCTCAAAGCTCACTCTCACATCCAACACAATCCTCAAAAGAGATTACCCGAAAATTTCCGTGAAAATTGCAAGAACCAATGGATACCGTTTCCGTTTGTCGTTAGAATTTCCCTTTGAAGCGATCTCGGGCCATGGTGAAACAACGGTTGGACCAGCTGCACGACCATCTCAACTCGATAATTGTAATTGCAAAGCAGCGTGTATCGCGCCGGGGGATTCGACCAATTTTGTTTGTGTTTCAACGGGGCGGCGGGGTCGCGATGCAAATCCCGTTAATTCGCTGGGCAAGCAACCGAATCCGGAACTGCTGGTCGACTTAAGTGTTGCTCGTGGATGAGCTGCAGATCGGTGTATGCGCATGCATATATTTCGTGGACGAAGAAGCGAACTGTGAATTAGCATTTTGCTTGGGAATCCGAGATCTTAATGCCTATTGAGTCCAATCGTTTAACGGATCAACCGTTTAGCTCTGTTCTGTTGAACGTATCGCTGAGTTTCTTTAACGAATGACCCTTTCCGAGCGAAAAATCGTCTATTCAGAGTGTGCTCAGTTCTCCAAGATGGGGGATTTAATTCTTAACTATAGACCACTCGTCTCTGAGACGAATGTCTATTTCACTGTCAGAATCATGTGGAGAATTTTGCAAGCTTATCGATAGTAGGTGGCTCACTATTTCCGTAAAGAAAATTCCTAATTTTTGATATAACATTATAAATATATTGCTTTTATAAGATATTGTTAAAATCTTAGCAAACAAATATATATCATTAGATAAAATAGTTATATTGGATTTATTGCTGGAACATAGTGATTTAATAAATAAAATTGCCAAGTAGTCTGTGGTGACGTCTTAAAGACAGTGATTATGAAAGTGGACTAAATCAAAAATTCAAAAAATTTCATTTCATCGCTTATTTTGTTTTGTGTCGATCTTTTCACAAAAAAGAGTTGTATTATAAGAGCAAGTATTTTGTGAAATATTTTATTATACACTAAACAAATATTATTTTATTATACAATAAAGAATATTTCTTAATACACCCGAAGGAAACATTCTAAATATCTCGAAACGAAACATATACGACGAGTTCGCCATTTCTGTTTCTTTCTTCTCCTCGGTGAATTGTCGTTTTAATTCACTGTCACCGATACTTTCTTCCCCTCCGAACCTAAATTCGCAGAGGACTCGTTCATTATAGCAACGTGTCGAGTTACGAAGAGATAGTCGTGACACCGGAACTTATTAAACGAGGTCGCGTTCCGCGGAGCGCGCGACTCGTCCCCCATTTAATTAAATTTCGCTTTGTGCGTACACAGCTGGCCATACCGTGGCAAGCAAACGCACTAAATCGCTATTAACCGTGGCCTACAGGCGAAATTTGTTAACTTTAACTTAGCCAACCTCTTTCCGCCTTAAAATGTAGACAGTTTGCGTAAAACGTAAGTACACGATAGATTTCAATTAAAATTATTACACTTTTTCGTGTAAATTTGCTCGAATAAATGAACTCCGTAAATTATCACTGATTTCATTCGTTAAATTAAATCTTACGTTTGATATAATTTCCTAATGGCTATAATTGTCGAACAAAGGTTTATTTTTATTAACAGTACACTTCGACGATACGATCAGGCATAGTGATAGAAAAAGACGATAAATATCTCGAATGAAATGTTTGTTGAATTTTTTTTCTCGATGAAAAGTGTCTTTACGAATGAAAATCATACGATTGATAGAAACTATGGGAAAATATACTAGAATTCATTGTACCAATTTTTTAACAATTTGACTCAAAAGAATTTTCAAGCAATAACTACCGCGAATTCAAACTTTAGACATCTTTAATCCGAGGACACTAAGAGTCCCCAAAGATGGTCTAATCTATTTCAGCGAAGTTTGTCTTCAATCTTCACATTAAATCGTTATGTCGTTCGTTATATTATAAAATTTATGTAGAGCTTTATACCGAAGCATTATATTATAAATAAGTGAAATATGAAGTAGCAACTTGTTTTAATTCATTTAATATTAATTTATTTTATTTAATAATTTGGTCCGGCACTTGACTCGGAGACAGAATGATAATTTGGCCCCCGAACTAGAAAAAGTTGCCCGTGCCTGCTCTAAAGGATTTTTCTTGTATATTCTTACGACCAAAAATCGAAAGATCTATATAGAGGGGTTATTTATAGGGGCGGAGAAATATGTTGAGAATGTATAATGACATTTTGTTTGCGCGGAGCCTTTGTTCCCGCGTGATCTGAGGTTGCAAATTGATCGAGGTGTGGGACACGGTTGCAGTAGCAGGGAAAAGAACTTTTATATCGTTGAACGGTGACTTTTAAGTAACAAGATACTTTTATTTCACTGTTCATCTTTGAAACTTGAATGCACACATTGTTGCAGTCTCTATTCTCGAATGCAACATCGATGGAAGCACTATTTCGAATGCGAAACATTGTTGTACGCGTTACTTTTGAACGCAACATTGCTTGAAACGTTATATTTGAACGCAAACATTGTTGGAATCTCTATTTCTGATTGCAACATTATCAGAAGCGTTATTTCGAACGCAAACATTATTACAAGCACTGCGCTTTAACGTAGCGTCGTTCTCGCTTGTAACATCGTTAACTCGTATTATTTTCGAATGCACATTGTGGCAAACGTGTTATCAACGTGTTTGCAACATTGTTTCAGCGAACCGCCCTCGAAAATTGCACGTTGTTGCGCGACGCGCCGCTTTGCAACATTGGTCGAGGCGTTATTTCGTACCGTAAGAAAGAGTAAGAAATGTTGAGAATAGTGTCCCATATGAAGTCTTGTTCCACGGCGTACGAACGTGTGGAAAATATCGTACCACTGTTGCAGTCTCTTGACTGTTTTTCTTTTTAGTAGGATGAAAAATTTTGCAAAGATAGATAGACATTTGCGGCATTCGCTTGTAGATTGGTATTGTTGTGTGTCCAGGAGGCAGTTGTTAGAAACTTCTGGTTCGATTAAATTTTTGCGAAGGAGTTGATGCACCTCGCGCCTATATTTTCTTCTTGAAGAAAAGGACCTTCTTCGTCTGCGTATCAAATTGAGTAACAAGTTGAATAACTAGATAAAATGTTTCTTGTTTGTAATTTACGGGGGTTTCGTGGTCCATCTGAAAATAGAACTATTGTTTTCTTAGGGCTGCCTTTTGGAGAATATGTAGATCTTTAGATATACGTGATGTGTTCAGATTGGTAACTTTTCTTCTTTGAGGGCGGAATTTGTTGAAGGAGCAGGTTCTTGATGATCCATCGGTCTTAAACGGAGAAATTCCGCTGGAGTTTCCGGTCTATCAATTGTTTATCTGTGATGTCCGAAATTACAATGATCGAATATGATGCACGGTTTTATATGTTCTTTTATCCATAATGGTGAAGGAATGTGGTTATTATTATTAAATAACGAGACGTGAGTAGGGTTGCGCTAAGTACCCACACGGTATTAGCACGATCTTTATTTGAAGTTGACTGTCGGCGTTGGAGGTCCGTGCCTGACTGGCCTCCTCTCGCATCGCTTTTTCTTACTAACTTTTTGGCTATCTGTTATCCCGTCGCATCGGTGTTAACCAATCAGGTCACACGGTATTAGCACGATCTTTATTTGAAGTTGACTGTCGGCGTTGGAGGTCCGTGCCTGACTGGCCTCCTCTCGCCTCGCTTTTTCTTACTAACTTTTTGGCTATCTGTTATCCCGTCGCATCGGTGTTAACCAATCAGGTAATTTCTTTCCAAGTCGCTGCGTGTCCCTTGCGCCCTTGGCGCGCTTTTTCGGGAACCGCCGTGCGACTTGGCAGGAGAGGTTTTTCCCGTGACGTCACTCGGCGACGCAGCTGAGTTTCCTCCAGGTCAAGTACTCGTGACCTGCCGGTCCGGGTTTATACCTTTCGGAAACCCTTGGTTTATGATGCGGCAATTTGCTATTGAGGCCGTCGGAGAAAGTTTCTACGCGGACATGCATTGTCGAATTTCTAGAAATTAAATAAGCTAAAAACGGTTTCCTCAAAAATAGCCTTTCAAGCGCGCACGTCATAAACCGTGCTGGTAGTCTGCTCGCCAAATGTTTTCCGCTGTAGCTAGTCGCTACAATGGTAATCCGATTTTGTGAAGAATGTAAATTGTTAAGACAATTATTGAAGTGTATCTTAAATAATGGAGGATTTCTTGTGCTTTTTCAGTTCACGTTTTTGTCCTTTTCTTTAATACTAATTTGGTAATGTGCTCGTTTAATTCATCTATTGTGGCGCCTGACATTTGTATATCTTTCGAATTAACATAACGCTCATTCAAAAAAGTCAATTTTATCTCTTCTTTTCCTATATTTTCTTGTTCGAGTAATCTTTCTAATTTACTCTCATTTAGCGAGTAATGTATAAAAGACGTCAAATTTAATATTCCAACTGGATTTTGGTGCTTTTAATATTACAGCTTGTGTAGTTGCAATACATCCCTGATTTAAATGTAAAATTGACGGATAAGTTATTTTTATTAATTACGGTACCGTGTTATTGCATAGGATACGGAAATTTTCTTCATTTTTGGGTATGATCAGTGTTACGACGAAGATCGAAGGATCTAGAAGGTTTCATCAAGTTGCGTCAGCGGATCTAGAGTATATATAAAGCCCGAGCGAATTGCGACAGACAGACACAATATTCTCAACGAACGACCACGTAACATCGATCCATCGATCAAGAATGAAGATTGCAGAAGTGATCGTCAACAAACGTTCGTCACGAATCGCGTAGTATAGAATATTATAGCGGAACAATTTAGAGTAGTAAAAAGGAAATGAAATTTAAAAAAATATTAACTGCGCGAATTTGCTCGTGAAAAACTACAAATATTATTTTCATAAGATGGGATACAGTACTTCCTATGTTAAAATTAATGTCCCGAAAAATTAACGATAGCATTCCACGGTTAATAATTCTGAAATTCATGGCGTATTTAACGTTTAAAATTTTATATTAATGTGAGAAAAAATGAACGATGGTATACCAAGTTTAACAACTCTAAAATTCATGGCGTTTTTCTATTACAAAGGATTAGAAAAGGAAGAAGAAATGATTGTTCTTCGAACGTTGGTTTTCATACTGGCGTTTTAATAGACCTTTCTTCCTCGTCTAAACGAAAGAAAAAGGAAAAAGAAAATGGAAAGGGATGCTCGATTCCACTTAATTCGATCGCAGGAACGCGCTCGAGCTTCCGGCTCGCGCAGATTGCCACTCCAATCTTCCGTTTCCTTGGCATCGATTCCCTTCTTGGCCAGGGACTCTCTACTCTTTGCTTGCGTCCCCGCTAACCGCTGCCCATGATTTCACGATGAAGCTACTGATTTAATCAAACTCCCGGAGAGCCTGCTCGAAGGACGTTTGCGTTATCCAGGAAGTCTCCGACGGTGTAAATTAAGCGTGACGCTATCCTGGAACTTGGCCACGTCCTTGGAATCTCGAAAGTTCGCGTTATTAAGTCGATCCTTCGAGCGATCGCTCGATTCAACCGTTTGGTTTAAATGATAACGATTCTTCGACGATATTCGAGGAAGGAATTTGGAAGAAAAATTTCGTCGAGGAAAATCTTCGTCCTCCTTTTTATGCGAATTACACGGTTACACAAAGCGAAATTATCATTCTATATAATTTCATTGTAAATCAGACTTTCAGAGTTCGGTAGATTTTTTCACAAAAAATCACAAATTCTTGAAAAAATTATACTGTTCTTCAGAGTTTCCTTTTTTTTTCCTATTTTTTATTCCTGGAAACAAAATACTGTTTGTTATGTGATCAATGTTTGATATGTGATATGAAATTCGATATGCGATAAAAGTTCATACGTGTTGGAAAAGAGAGTGATTTTCAAAAAGTAGCGAAATAAATCTGTTACGATCTCTATTAAATTCACTTGCTACCTTTTTTGTTTTATTACACGTCAATTGGATTCAATAAGCTGTCTCTGTTTCATTTGCTTGTATGTATTCCGCTTGGCTGACCAGCTGTACGGTACGTTCTATTTGCTAGACTGTGTATTGACATGTACTACTCGATCTATTAGACACGGATCTACACCCCTTGACTGATCACACGTTGGTGCAAACTCCTTGGAAGTAGTGTAAGATCGTGCAAGTAGAGTGTACCTGGGATTAGTCAGACTAATAGAATATCTTCACTGATTGATCACAAGAGCAGAATACACTTATTCGTAATAGCTAATCTACAGTTATCCGAGTTAATATTCGGACACTCTTTAGAACAGTATAACTTCTTTAAAATTGGATCAAACGACTTGAGATTTTTTGAGAAGTTAGAAGGATTAGTTTACTAGGTGACGTGGACAACAAATGTAAAACAAATTGCAATTTGTGGGAATCGCGAAGAAAATTGGAAAGGTCACTTTTCCAACTTTTTATCTAAGCTTGAAATAAAAATTTAAAGCATATGTTTTATAGATTTATGTCAGTGATATACTTGCTGAAAATTCCATCGAAATCGGTTGATGCAGAAGCAAGAGACAGGCATCGAAAGATGTAAGAATCTTTAGATTTATTACAATTATAGGCCGAAAGTCGTGAAAAACTACAATTTTTAACAATTTGTAGCTCATGTTAACCGATTTCGATGAAATTTTTAGCATGTGTATAATTGATATAAATCTACAAATCGTATGGTTTAAATTTTCATTACAGGCTCAGATAAAAAAGTTGTAAACAGTGACCATTACAATTTTCCTCGCGACTCTCACAAATTGCAATTTTTTCAAAACTGTTTTTGTACACGTAATCTAGTATACTAATCCTAACTTCTCAAAAAAACTCAAGTCGTGTGGTATGATTTTAAAAAAGTTATACTGTTTTAAAGAGTATACGAATACTAATTCGGGTAACTGTACATGTTTTCCTACCGTAATGCTTCTATGCGTTGATAAAAATAGAACGAGCAGTTCATCGAAGCAAGAATTCAGTGAAATGGAAGTGTTAACATTCAAATAAGCCAACGAAGAAAACGAAGGGAATAAATAGAGAAAAGGGCTTGAAAAAGATCAAGTGTACCATTTTATATTTCTATAATTTTCACTAATTTCAATGTACCGATGAAGCACCTTTATCTCTCGATTTTGGAATATGTTTATTGAAGAAACAGTACTACCACACGGATAACATTCTTTCCTTCACCTCTTCCATTCTCCATCTCGTCTTACCTATTTTAAATGAACACGAAGTGAAACAGAGAAACACAAATGGTCCAAATCCTTCGTGCTTCTCCAAACTATTACATCGCCAAAAATAACGGAGGGAGAGACACTTCTGGGATCCATTCTCCTCGCGTATAATTTTATGCAAAATTAACTCACACTTAAGCGGCTTCTCTCTCTCTCTCTCTCTCTTTCCCGTTCCACTTTCAGCTTTCGAGTCGAGTCGAGTGCCGTATATGCAAAACTAACCTTGCGTAGCAGTGTTTGCCAAAGAGCGAGGGAAGACCTGCTCTCTCTCTCTCTCTCGGTATACTTAGGAAATTTCGCGAAGAATCAAAGAAGTCGCGAATGAAACGGCCTCGACTTCAAAGAAAAAAGCGAGAAAGAAAACTTCGCGCGAAATAAGTTTAGCAGGGGACTGGTTGAAAGGGCCAGGTTTACTGGCGACACTTTATGCGGGCGTTTCAACCGTTAAAGGACACAGCTTCTTTTGAATTACTTTCAATCTCTGTCGCGTTCGTTTCCTGTATTTACGAGGCGGCAAGGGGATTCGGGACTGCGAGCTGTGAGTAACGAGGGCAAACTATCCGATTTGTTGAGAATTGGGTAACTGAGATTTTCTGTTTTCTTTGAGCGTACACAGGGAAAATCAGAGCAGAATCGCATAAATACACTACCGGCCAAAAGTTTGGAATCATCGAGCATTACAATTTACACAAAAATTTCCAGAAAAAGGTCAGTGACTTTGAGAATTTTTTATCATCCGAATCAATTGATACGAGATAAATTGATAAATGTAGCATTGAGATAAATTTCAAATCTATAAAAAATTAGCAGCAGATTTAATATTGATGAAAAGTGGGAGGTGATTCCAAACTTTTGGCCGGTAGTGTATATGTTTCACTGTTACCATGGTTTTGTTGGAAAATAATTCTAATGATTTTTAATCTCACAGTAGTTTTATTATTTACAATGGGGATTTGAAAGTCGATAAGGTTTATTTTCTTTCCTTCAAATGTGCTCTGGCATCTTCTAGTCGTTCATTTATATTCTTATTGCACAGATTTTTTTGATGATTAATTTGGGTTTGCTTATTATTGTAATTCATTAATTTCTTCGTCTGTAGAATATTTGTGAATGTTCTATTTTCCTACTGTTTTGTATGTTTAAAAAATGAGTTAGTCAAAAGCACTGTAAGTTAAATAGATTATAAAGGTACTTAATAAATTTTGAAGTAGTTCTGAAAGATACAATTGAACAAATAAATGGCTAATGTATTAATTAGAATAATGAAAATCTCGATTTCGTTCTAAACCTTCAAATAATCGTAAGAATCATATAAACAATTAACAGGTACCACTTTAACATTAACAGTCATTCTAAAAATCACACTTTATTCCGTATCATCCCACAATCAGTCACTGTCTCCGATTGGATGGTTGAAGTGATAGTTTTCGTTTCTCGAGATCATTCAATCGAATTTCAAGTACATACTTATGAAATCAATCCATTCAATAAAAATTCGAACCAATTAGTTTCACCAAAAGGCATCGAAATCCTCCAACATAATTTCATTATACTTCCTCGAAACATCACACCAACCATTCTCTAACTTATACCTACGCCCATCCCAATAACCAAACTATATTCATCACCAACCTGCAAATAGCTGCTGTCCTTTGTCTGATGACTGAAGTGATAGAAGTAAGAAACCTAAACAAATTATTAAAGCACCTATACATTGAAAAATCAATTAACAACCGATATTCTACTACAATAATCATGAATAAACCATAAAAACAGAAAGGAAAACTAGCAAAAATACATTCAAAACTGCCACATTAAAGCCATCAAAACGATCACACCAATCGCCAAACACCAATTCACGCTTACGAATAAAACCAAAGTATTGTACCGAATCTATTTACAAACCTGCAAGTATCCACTGTCTTTCGTTTGATGGCTGAAATGATAGAAGTAAGTTTTCGCTCCTCGTCTGGCGTGATAAAAGGCGATCCTCATAAGAGGCGCCACTGTGTGACCATCGCTGAGCGCTTCCATCGTCCAGTCTCTTATGATGATAGGATGTAGTACAGGTTTATCCCAGTCCGTGTATTCGTTCCTCACCGCTGAGAAGATTTCGTTCAAGTGATACACATAAGCGTTCCTGATAAACGTTCGTAGTATTCGATTTCGATGGTCCTCCTCGAAACCCAATTGAATGTCGTTCATGTTGAAGTCGAGATTCGACTCTGTGGTGGACACACCGAGGATCAGTGGTACTTTGATGAACGTCTCGCTAGCCCTCTCCATATCCAATCCAGGATCCGGATTGTTTTGGTCCACTGGTAGGCCTGGACCGATTCGTGGCACGAATCTGGAACGAGAAACAGGCCAGTCTAAACGACGAATTCGAGACTTTCGGTGTAACGTATTATGGGACACTTTTAGGTGAAGAATTGAACCAGGGCTGCTTCTGGGCTGTTAGTCGCCTGCGTGCTAGAAATAATTCATCGCCTCCCAATCAATTTTACGAGCGGATTACGAGCAGATTCATAAACTAACCCAATCCATGGCAGCCTAACATTACATTTTTATGACAGGTCCATATAATTGATAAGGGTGAAAAAATCCATAAAAATATTGTAGTATCGTAATTTTAAGCAAACGTAGTTTTAAGAAAATGTGGCGAACATAAAAGGGAAAGCGGGCGACGAGAGACGAAAGCCAGGCCCAACGGGAAAAACCCCGGCGACGAGAGGCCCACGAAGGGGCTGGCTATAAAGTGTGGCGTGCGAGGGATGGAAAGACAGTGTTGTTGGAAAAGTCGAGAAGAGTGGGTCAAAGTCACATATATTACAGTTATTTGTATATTTTTGTTAGTAAACAAAATAATACGATCATATGGTCGAGCTTGTTGTCGTAAAAAATCCTGCGATACGAATAGGCGAAACGGGGGCAACGAATTCGGAAGGCCGTGGCCGTGTTAGAAAAGCATGAACAATTCCTCCTTTTGCCACAAGATTGCTCGTAACGAATGCAATGCTAGGTCACCAATACAAAACAGTTGACACGAACACTGATCGAGGTAAAAGCTATCGAAGATTTCGTCTAATTTTTTGAAGAAAGTAAAGCAAGCATAGCTTTTGCATGTATCATTATCTTGATACTAATGTTTAATGCTAATGGATTAGGTGTTACGATTGCTGCGAATGAGTACACGAAAAGTGCAGCGATGGACAGAGCACACCTAGAGGCTATTTATGCGACTTTTGTAAAAAATAAGTAGTGCTCGTGATTACCCCACGACAGTTAGGAAATATGAAGACAAGTCATCAAAAACAATGGAGAATATTTCAATAATTCAGCTAATTTCAAGTTTGTTTTTAAACATCGAATTTTGCCGAAAAAAGTAGCAAATTCTTTCCTACATCTAATAAATCGCTACGGTGTGACCGACGCTGATCAATAAGGCGACCCGCTAAACCGGAAGCCAACAATAGCGACGCGTGTGCATCGTGAATTAACCGTGCTGCTGGCAGATTAGCGCGCTTTGACCTGGGATAAACGATGCCACCGGTCGTGGTTCCTGCGTTACGGTGATCGATATCTTCATACAATATTACAGGAGTAAGATCGTTTCGAGGGAGGGGAATTCGTTTTAGGTAGGAGGGAAGTTGATGTTGGTTCATTTTTGGAGTTTAAAGTTTGGTTGGTAGTATGATTAGGTATTTTTTAAATCCTGGAATTTTTGTGTTGGATTGAAGAAATTCCTGCCTTGTACTTTATTAATAGTGATATTTTTATTAATTGTTAAGTTGTTTTAATGAAAGTTTCAGGGAGATTAATGGGTATCTTTTGTGTGTACACTCCAGTTTATAAGTATTATATTAGGATACTTAATGAATGTGAAGTAAGCTTAAAGAGTTCTTACAAAATTATAAAGATCCAAAAATAATTATTCCGCTTGGAATCTCATCATGTAACGAGTAAATACATTTTTGCTGGTATCTAGTGTACTAAATCTGGTGAAGAAATGTAATTTAAATCATATAACACTTTCTGTATGACTATAACGGGTGTGTTTATACTAATGAATGGTAGTGTACGTATGAAAGTTTGAGGAAGTTTAATGGGTAAATGTATCTTTTGCATTGGAAACAACTTTTATTAGGAGAAGTTTCATACTGGTATTTCTGTTAATTGTTAATATTCTTCACTAAAAATTTGCGAAGATGTAAATAATAAGTAGATGTATATTTCAGTGAGAAAGAGTTCGACTTGATTGAAACTGACACTTATTTCCAAAAAAATGTTTAATTTCTGTCTTTTGGAAAGTCTTCAGATAGATATATGTAACTCTTCAATTAAGAATGTATCGATATTGATAACGATATTCTCCGAAGGGTAAGTGAAAATTTAGCAATCCATTCTATGTGGAATAAAATTCAATAACTGATGATTTTTATCTCTGAAATTAACATTTTTTTCACTTTACTCTATAAAGTTTGCGCTTCCAGAAACAATTTTGTGTCAAGTGCTCACCGATAACACAGAATTCCCTTGAATTTTAATTTTTCAACGGTAGCGAATGAAGCGAGATGTGTTCCAAATCACGTTTCTCAGACCTTTAAAGATTCATTTCGCCATGGACGACGCGAGTTTTATTCGATCCCCAGTTCGCGGACGCAATAACACCGATGACTACCGGGAGTTCTTCAGCCTGTGCACGTAATGTACGAGCAACTTTTACATCGAATTTACGGCGAGCTATTCATGGATGTTAGGTCAGCCTCGAATCAAGATCGTAAAGAGTTACTATCTTACCGGATTTCCGGCAGTTCAACGGCCATAAGCTTGCGGAGAGGAACGCCGCGTAGACAGTCGGCAATATCTTCGTCGTTCTCCGTGGAACATCCTATTTGCTCTGCTACTTTCAACCGTAGGTCGTTCGGATCGTGAACAGACGCCCACGGGCTTAACGCTGAGCCACTCGATAACACTACCCGGTGAAATAGACCTGCAAACATTCGGTGAACACAGTTTGTTGATAAATTTGATCAGTTTTGAGGTGCATGCAACGGAAACAAGAATGATAAATCTGGTATTTTCAAATGTTCTTGGTTATATCTTTGAACAGTGTCTGATTAAATTCTGCTCCAGCTACTGAAAGTAGAAATATCGTTATTTATACGCAACAGTGTGGAAGGTTAAGTGCACATGAAACGTTGCTTCTTCAAATGAATCTTTAGATACATTGTGTTTTTTCAAAGTATAATGTATTTAATCAGAATAATTTCCACACGATTCTATACACTTTCGTAGGAACCGACGGAAAAATTTTGAAGAACCCAACGGGAATCGAACCCGGGACCTTCGGCTTGGTAAGCCGAGGCTTTGCGCACTACGCCAACTACTCCCCCTCTATTTTTCCTGGTTGGTTATCCTATATAGGTATGGAGGCCCCGATACTACACTTTCCCCAGCGATTAACTAGTTTCATTAGTCCGAATTTACAAAAATCATTAGTCTTTGAATGAAAAAATTCTTTGAATGCTGCTTTTACAGTCCGAAATAATTCATTTGTTAAAAAAATTGTTCAGGTGTTCGAAGGTGTAGTGAATAGGGGAGGATGTGGCAAAATTTTATATTTTTTACCGTGGATTCTTTTCAATAATTTTTCTTAAAACGTTATCGTTCTAGATCTTATTTAGCCTTCCTCTTGGCCCATTTTCCAATAAAAAAATTGCCCACCTTGAATTTTGTACACCAACGTTTAAGTGCCCTAACATTTAACATTTAAATTTTTTCAAGTTTAAATGTATATAAAAAAATTTCGCGAATATCTCGATTATTCATCACGTTACATCATAATATCCAAACACCTGTGTTACGAACTGTTCTACTATTTAACACACGTGTACCACAGGAAATTCCTTCTTCTTGACTATTGTGTATAAAAATTGATGATTAACAAAAGTTAATATACGGTCTCAACTTGGCAATTTCAAATTTAGAAAAAGGAATCTAATAATTTCATCGTGAGTCTTGTTTTAGAGTTTAGGAATAGTGAAAATAAAATGTGAAATACGACAATCAGCTGATTTATAATTTAAATCTTACTTGCTCTTACTTAAAATCTTACTTAAAATTTACTTGTTCAATTTTACTTGTTTTAAGAAACTTGTTACTATTGTACAAGAGAATTTATTGCAGCTTGTGACTTGCAAAATTTCACTAATAATATTAGTTCAATTGTACAAGAAAGCACAGAAGTAGAATATATGTACATACGTGACTGTCTGACTAATGGCACTTGTTGATACTGAATCTTGTTTTAAAGTCTTTTATTTGTGAAATTTTATGCAGTGTATTTGTGTTTGTTTTTACTTTGTGTTTAGTATTGGATATTTTACATCTTATATATGTTCCAAAATCATAATAAAATAAAAGGGCCTAGCCGAATAAGCATGGTAAAAGTGCCCCCAAACCGAATCGATCTTGGTGCATATCATTCGATAGACCACTCGAAGAAAACCCTTTCTGCCAAGTATCAAGCTGGTACCCCTACTACTAAGGGTAGTTACAGGGTGAAACGCAATTTACAGTTTAAGCTCTATATCTCTTGTTCTACTCGGTGAAAACTTATGAAAAAAATCATCGATGTGCTACCCAATGGCGTACATGTCTGTGAATTTGAATGCATTTGAAACTGCATACAATGACCATTTAATGAATAAAGTATGGCGATTAAACAAGTATGCCACTCTGCGTTCGAAAGGTTAGGAGATATCGATTTATAATTTTTGAGTATGAATCACCTCTCAAAAAAATCTGAAAAAATTATACATTAATAACCATAACAGGCTGCTAAAAGAGTAGAAAAATGAACATGTTCACACGAAAAACTAAAATAATAATATAAACGAACATCGGTTTTTGATTTTTCTAGGTGCCGTCCCCCACTTCAAAAAATCTGAAAAAATTACACATTAATATCCATGACAAGACACTAATACTGTAAAAATATAAACGTGGTCGTTTGATAATTTCAATATAAAAACAACATTTATAAACTTTCCGGATTTTTTAAAAATCGATTTTACAGTGAACAATTCTGAAAAAATTCATAGACATATACGCCATTGGGTAGCACATCGATGATTTTTTTCATACGTTTTCATCGAGTAGAACAAGTGAAATGGAGCTTAAACTGTAAATTGCGTTTCACCCTGTAACTACCCTAGTAGTAGGGGTACCGCTTGATACTTGGAAGGAAGGGTTTTCTTCGAGTGGTCTATCCAATGATATGCGCCAAGATCGATTCGTCTGACATATATCATTCACTTCTACTGAATCCTAATTTTGTATTTTCCCTTTCTTCTTTCATATTTATTACTTACACTGCAATAAAGTATCACAGATAAAAATTCTTCACGTTTAATCTTATCTTTTCTTATGCAAAATGGCGGAACTGTCTGACCAATTTCACTGCTTTCTACTACTATTCTTCAATCATCTCCCTGTATAAAATGTACAACACATCAATCGTTAAAAATTTCAAATTATCCAATCTGAAATCACGGTGCTATAAATACCCGTTTTAAAGCGTATATAAATTATTTTACCAACTTCACAGACTTTTATTGTCTTTAACTTCGCAACTTTCATCCCCATCCGCAATATCTCAGGTTAGATCAAACATGAAATACTTTACACTGTTATTACGGTAAATTATGGGCAAATATCAACGAAATGCATTCTCGTCGATCGTCTCAAGTGTCGTATAGCCGTGCTCGGTTATGCTACTCGGAAGAAAGAACGCATTAAAGTACGAGGAGAAAGGCGGAGGCCGGATATATCGAAGTTATTACAACGTCAACACGGGAAAGCCGTTATCCACGATAGCTCAAAGAGATTTACGCGATAATAAAAGATATTCAAGGAGACTGAAACGACAAGCGGGGACGAATTATGGCCGGCTGGAACACAGGTAAAGCCGTAATCTACCTACAGTGAATGAAACGTCAATTTATCGCGCCTTTTACGAGAGAAATATTTCCCTCGAAATACTTTGCTTCACGTTAACGAATATTAGTTTTAACTCCAGTCTTCTTGGATAATTTAATTACCTCGTGCGAAAGTGCCGTTGATTCTTGGATATTTCTTTTACAGTTCGTGTTAAGCAGTTGATTCAGTATTATATTGAAAAATGAAACTTGTATTTTAATAATTTCACAGTATTTTCAATCTTTCTTTTTAATTAATGGAAGATACTTCACCATTTTTAAGTCGTTCTTTATGGAATACTTTTTTAGAAGTTATGTTTAAAGTATTTTTACTATTCTGCGGTGCATTATATCGACGGATTACATTATTTTTCGTATTTCATATAATATTACATTAAAATTATATTATGCTTCATATTTTGGATTATGAAATATTTTGCATTTACAATCGTAACATTTATCCATGTTAACGATATAAATGTCTTGCTGCGACAGACGATATAACATTAGTGCGTCGCCGACGGCTCGTCCGCCGTCTTTATACGCCGCGATGACGCGCGCCCGACCGTTAGTCCAAAAAGGCCCGAATCGCACACGCCACCGAGGCGGCACCTCAAAAGTGCCGATCCGATCACTCGCGTGACGGCACAACAATCCATGAATTATGAATTGCATGAAAATTGCGACCGTGTAAGATTGAATTTGTGTTGAACAGAATTACCTGACAGCAAAACTTCGAGATAATGTATAATGCACAGAATCGTTCGTAATGTATCGACAAACACCACAATTACAAAATTGCGAAATATTTCATGAGCTACTAATATAGCATTGACAGAATAAATTATTTTTATCGATATAATAAACGAGAGAACATTTTTTTATTTTTTTACTATGTAGTCAGATGAATTGCAATCATTGTTATATTCTTTTGAATAAAATCGGTTTCAATGTCGAGATATCTATTATTCCTTTAAATATATCGTCCTTAACTTATGGCTCTCTATTGTTTCTATTATTTACATTACAATTAGTCATAACAGCAGTCTGGTTTGTTCGACAATATCAATGTTTCAATATCCGTGTTAATAATCAAACACGTGAGACCATTCCAATATACATACAACACAACTGTACACACGTTTATGTGTAAAGAATAAACTAGCTACATATTTATTTACTATTGAAAAATTCAAATATACGTAAAACGGGGAACAATTAATTCTCTTAAGGAGGGGAAAAATGAATAATTGTCCACAAAGGATACATTAAAAAATAAGTTTCTCATCGAAGTTTCAAAAATACGAAGAATAGCATCACTTATTAATTTAATTTTAATAAATTCTAATGCACACAAACCAACAATACAGATGTATAAATTTCTAGAGAAAGAAAGAAAAGAACGCTTCCTTGTTTTTTTATTTTCAATAGACGCGAACATCTACAAACCGAGAAACAATAAATCCATTGAAGCAAAGCGAAAATGTATTTAGGTACACCACTGAAAAGATACGAAAGAAAACTTATTGATAAAAGTTGGAGAAATATAAAGAATGAAATCACCTCTTGTTAATTTAAATTTAACAAACCACGAATAAATGAGTCTTTGAAATTAGCAAAACCAAACCTGAATTACTTGAAAAAGAAAGAAGAACACTACGATGACAAGACAAAAGTAAAAAACGCCTAGAAAGAATAAAACAATTTCCTGTTTACTTACAATTAACACATTTGTCAAATAGACACACAATAATTACAAAATGAAAAACAATTATGTTCTGGAAGTAACGCGTAGATGCACATACAGTTACTCTAAAAAAATATTTAAACAATATACCAGGTGTCTCGCGAGATTTTTGTCACGAAAGATTCGTTTTCTGAAGCATTTTGTATTGTTTTCTGCATAGTTGTTTATTCTTTAGAAAATTGTTAAGATAAAATTGTCTGAATGTTGTAAATAGGTAAACGAATACCTACAAGAGGTTGGTAATGTACCGGGTGTCAAATTTTT